ATATATATATATATTTTAAGAGTCATTACTTTAACATATATACAAACTTTTAATTACAGAAATGCGAATAGCAAATCATTCAACAGAATTTGTGAACAAGGTATTGGACAACGTTAGAGCCGGTATTCCCGATGGCGGCATTGATAATTTTTAATGCAATAGCGAAAATTTGTTTTCCTATAAAGTTTACGTCGTGTATACATCTTACGTGTATATATCTTTAGAAAAACATGCTATGTCTCTAGATATATAGAATAATGTTGCTTTTTATCTTAAAGTTGCTGAATGCTTCAGAAGGCAGACTTACAGTTAACTTATTGGTTAATGAATAATTAACAAATATATATATATATGTTATTTCAGAAAATGTTAACCGATATAAATGAGAAACGAAACCTTGATATGTATTGGTTTATCTTTGACATTTTCGAATCGATAATTTTTTTTCTACGAAAATATCTGCATTTTCGCCTATTGTATATATTGGTCAATCTGTATATAACATTTTTCATGCATCACGTATGATAGTTTCAATAATGTGTTTATGCGAAGAATACGGTTTTTTTTTTTACAAATTAGCTGCAAATGTATGACTTTTTTTTTAGAAAATGATTATATATCCTGATGAAAGTGCAAAGAAAAAAGTGCCGAATGTCACTTAATAATTATATCAGATTAGATATATCATCAATGTCCATTATCAATCAGCGTTGCATATATTATGATTTTAAATTTAATTTTCAAATTTCAATAAATGTGCATCATATGCAGAAAAATATTTGGCCTTTTTCGAAATGATTTCAAAATAATGATAGTAAAATTTAATTTAATTTACATGTGTAAAATTTTTATTACGTTTAATCGCATTTGCTGAATTTGAAATATTTTAGTGATTTTTTTTTTTCTAAACAAGTATAATTAAGTATAATGACATTCTTGCGTAATCATTAACAATGATCAAGGTTTCGAAATTATTGATGGGAGATGATGCAACATTACTAAGAATTGACATTGATGATCTTTTTTCTTTTTAATATTCGGACGCGACGATGTAGTTTTAATCGTAATAGTAAAAGATCTTAGAACGTGCGTTAGCTGCACTTATAGAAACGAGCTTTGAATTATATAGTTGTTTGCTGTTTGCTGACTCGATCTACCTCAGGACGAAACGCTATACCTACGTACATATATATTTGGATTATATAAAGATAAAAATAATGATGTATGTGGAAAGATTGTAATCGTGGCGCGAGATGAGGTATCACTGCTTTGGAATCTTAGAAAAAAGAACGAATATGTAATGTATATCACATTTACATCTCACGTACGACGATTGTTTAAAATGATTATACGCCGCGATTAGAATTATATTTTGCTAATCACTAATATACACATACATATATTTTAAATATGCAAAATGTTAATCCATATTATATTCATACTAATATTTTTTTAATCGATTTTTGTATGTAAAGCTACGCTAAAGATCATAGTGATTATATGAGAGGAGAAAAAAAGAACGTGTGGATATATAGTCATACGATTATATATATATAGATATATATATATATAGATATATAGATATATAAATACAGATGTTGTATAATCCTTATTGAATCGTTATGCAGTCTAATTTATTGTTATGCGGGGTACCACCGTAGGTTTCATTCGCTGTGTATGTATATCAGTAAAAAGTTAATGTGTGTAATATCAGTGTAGCACGAGACGTCATCTCCGATATCACCGTAATCACAAGCGTGCGGAAAAATGTTGCGTGTAATAAGAATAACTTTTTCTTTTCTCCCACAATGCGATACGCGCTCACCCGTCGCAAAAAATGTCGCTTTATTGTTTCGACGATGAATCCAATACTTCTTATAATGATGCGCCTGCTTGCGCGCGTTCGTTTATTCGTTTATTCACGCACTCCGATACCTACATCCGTGAGGACGAACGCGCGTAATCTTTTGTTATCGCGCCGGTCGCTGTAAGACGTAAAATTGAAGTTAGCGAGCATTCCTGGCGTTAATCGTGCTAAAATCGAGTTATGGCAAACGACCCGAGGATAAACCGATCAGAATGTATAATGATGGTTGAATTATTCATTTTTATTCTAATAAAAAAAAAAAAACAATGCGAACGGCAAAAACGGATTTTTCATTATATCATTTAGAGGCTATGATGTTACACTTGAGATGGGTTTTCCCTATAGAGAGCAAGAAGTGACCAGGAAAAAAAAAATGAATCTGAAATGTAAATCTAATAAATGCGTAAGAGAAAAAATATATGATCATTTGTGTCGCGAAAATCCCGCGAGAGGTGATACGCTACTGCTTCAATCCAGAGTCATTAGTCATCGATCGTCCGATCCTCCGGCCATTCTCATTTAATTGATATGACTCGACGTGACTCTAGCGCATTAAGTCACCCGATTTCCGCGTGTCTCCCAATGCGGACAAACCAGGACAAACATCGCGTAACGATAAATATGCGGTAGTCATGCGCACTTTACATAAAAAAAATACATGAAAAATGGAAAACCTGAAAATCGATGGCTTAGAAAAACGTAGATATATCGAAATTTATTACGAGATCTTTGTTTAGTATATAATATCAATTTTAATTTATTATTATTATAGAACAATATTTGACTTTTATTTAAAACTACTGGCGAAGTCGGGATATCTGCTAGCTATAACTTTCTCCTAATAAATCAATAATCAAATTAATAATACCGATTACCCTTTCCTCCCTTCGCCAAGGAAGGATTTTTATCAAGGTTAAATATCATCCTAGTCAGAATTCGAACCTAAATCAGTTAGACCTCTCTGCTATTCGGAGGAAGGTGTTTTATCGACAGAAATAAAGGTAACGTTCTGTTTTGCTGGTTCTCTTTCCGTGCCAGAAGACCGGGCGTTTCTAGAGGTCGCGTCGAGTCGCGAACGACTCCAATTTCGTCGTCGCGTGGTCATCGTCACTGGTGACCGCCCATTCACCCTGGAAACACCCGAGAGAAGGGGATACAGCACCAGCACCTCGCGGTGGTATCTGGCATCTCGTGCGCGGAGGATGATGCCTGCTCTCGCACGGAATTCGCGTCGAGATCGCCGAGTCGTATGACGATTTCGCACGGCACGCGTGAACGCCTGCACGCCCGCAGTTATGCGCTTCCATTGTGAGAATACAAGTGCTTTATGGTGATAATATGTCAAAACCAAACATAAGGAAGATAACGGCTGACCCCACGAAATGTAATACAGACTCTTTACGACGGCCGAGTGTGTTTGAGAGGTTGGGCACGAAACCAGCGATCGCCGCCGCCGCCACCGCCGCTGCCGCCGCCGCTGCCGCTCAGAGTACATCGGATTATTGCAGAAATTGGGCCCTCAACGGCAGTTGTTCCTACGGAAAAAGTTGCAAGTGAGCTATCCGTTGATTTATCGAAACTCCACGCTGGAATGCGTGCCGAACGATCTGATCGGAAGACTATATTGTTTCACTAAAAGGAACCAAATTCACTTTGCAAAACAATAGGCCTGTTGCAGTTACATGATTAATTGTGGTTTATTAATGAGCTCGTTACAGTTTTTAGACTTACTTGCTTTAATAATTTAAACAAGATATGTTCGGAGAGAGCTTGAATTGCTTACTTTAGTTATTGTCAATACGATATTGATAATATAAATCTGAATTTAATTTTATAAAATATTTTCTTTTATTGGAATATATTGCCTATTCTTGATATTAAATTAATTTCTTATTTTTCTTGTTAATTAGATACGCAAACACTCATACATTGATAAGTCCATCCAAACGTGCTAAGAAAGATAATGCAATCGCAGGTACATCTGGGGTAAGCATATGGCATAGTTTTTTATTATTGATAATTTTATTTATATATGCATACTTTTCTTGTACTTTAATATAATTGATAAGAGTTAAAATTAATAATTGACCAATTGCAAATTTTCTTTTCTCTTCAATATTGCAGCTCATCGAGGATCCTTTCAAACGGCTCACATCCAAGATTGTGAAGAAGGCATCGCATAGTCCAGATTTAAACATAGAAGAGTGGAATCAGACAGACCTCGAATACGAAGACGAGAAGGTGCTGGAGAGACGGCGGCAATTGTTACAACGGGAATTGGAATTACAAATGAAGAAAGATAAGGAAGTACATGGCAAGGATAAAGTAAGGCAGAAGAAAAAAGCGATGAGCTCCTCCTCTAGTTCGCGCACATCCAGTACATCTAGTAGTAGCAGCAGCTCCAGTAGCGAAGACTCATCTTCCACATCAACGTCGGACTCCCATAAGAAAGTTAAAAAGATCAAGACCAAGAGACATCATAGTATTTCCGCCGATTACAGTGAAGATAAAGAGAGAAAAAGAAAGTGAGCAATTGTTTAGTATTCTTGGATAGCTTGAATATTCTTTATATTTAAATTTTAATTGAGTTTTTATGAATTGAGTTTTCTTTCAGATTGAAACTGAAAAGACTAGGAACGAGAAATGACAAAGCTGTTAGCAAGAAGAAACGTAAACTGGAGAATAGTTCTGCGAAGAAAGATCTTACCGTCAACAGATCAATCAAGAAATATGGCCCGTCATCTGTATCCAGGAAGCATTCCACTTCGTTACGCGCTAGATCACCCGCGATACAACAGGGATCTACAAGTGGAGTCACATCAACGACTGCCGCAACGTTGGGCTCGCAGGTTTCTGTGGCCCATCATATATCGTCGTCCAGCAAAATTCGGGAGAGAAACAGAAGCGAATCGCCGAAAGCAATGAAGGGTAATCGAGAGATGGACAAAGAAGACGGTAGACATTATAAGAAGGTGCGCGACATGGACGAGTGTCTGTCTAAAGATGCTACTAAGTGCAAATCATTCGATAAGATCAAAGAGCAACAAGACAAGGAGAAGAATCGCGCTATTGATGAAAAGACCAAAGCGGACGATCGGTTAAGAGCCAAGTGCAAGGATAAGGATGTACGTTCGCGTACGCCGCCGCCACCGCCTTCATCGGAACGATCGTCCAAGTATCAACACGTCAAGGAAAGTATATCGTCGAAAACGCGACGTAGTCGAACGCCTGACAAGACACCATCGAGAACGAGACGTGATCTCACTCCGGTCAAGAATCCGGAGAAGCAAGGCGGTTCTTCGAATCGCGCAAGAGATATAGAGAAGAAGGATCGCGATTCACACAAGAGAGATAAAAGCAAAGAGCGGGATGACGGAAGAAAAAATGAGCCGACGTCCTCCGGCAAGGCAAAACAGACAGTGACTTCGAGTCAGGACGAAAGTTATCGAAGGAATAACGTGAACAAAGATAATTTTGACGAAAAAACTTACGGCGATAAGGCACGACAGAAAAGCCGCGAACATCAACGCGAGAAGGAGACGAGAGATGAACGCCATTCAAGACTGGTCCGCGATCAACGCCAGGAGCCTCAACGTGAAAAGGATAAAGACGAATCTCAGGAGCGTTGTCGTAATGAGAGGCAACGCGAGCGGGATCGCGATCGGGACCGGGATCGGGAGAGAGAACGCGAACGTGACAGAGAGAGGGATAGGGAACGCGAACGAGAACGGGAGCGCGATCGCGAGCGAGAACGGGAACGGGAGATACGAGAACGGGATCGTGAGCGGGACAGAGAGAGGGAAAAATCCATAAAGTCGCGAGAGAGAGACGTACCTGCAGTGATTCCATCTGCGACGTTGAGCCTATCGACGGACAAGAGTTCGCGTTACGGTAACAGAATCAAGGAACGACCTCTGGGCAAGGACGTGTCATTTGAAAAGACTGCTGGCACCCGCGAGCGGAGTAGGAGCGAGCGTGAACGGGAACGATCCGAGACGAAGGCTCTTGCTGAGCGGGAACGGAGTTCTACGCAGTCACGTCTAGATGGAAGATACGAGAGAAGCGGCGTTATCGAGAAAGATGTATCTTCGAGTCGCAGCAAGTCGACTGTCAATTCGCCTCGGGATCGCATGGATCGTTTTCGAGAGGCGTCTTTAGACCGTGCGTCCTTGCACGACAAGAGCGGGCATGCCGCGACATCGTCGAGCATTCAGTCGACAGCGACGTTACCTGTGCCTCCGGTCTCATCTTCGTCGACTGTGGCACCACCATCCTCTCGTGATCATTTAATGGACATAGTGGACGGTCACTACGATAGAGATCGACACAGAAGATTCGGTGTGAGATATGAACGAGGTCACGCGTCGGAACACACCAGCAGAAAGGATCAAGCGCGAATCGAATCGAGTCGTGTTCCAAGCAAAATTGATCGGATAGTGGATCGTCGAGATGCCAACAGTCCGCGACACGCTATAGAAGTGGATAGGAACTTTGGTAGGAACTACGGCAGAATGCCGGAGCACTGGGACGAGCAAGAAGAAGCGACTCCACATGTCGAGTATAGAGAGCACGCTCACATCCACGAGGATGATAGAAGAAAGGCCATTGAAGGTAGAAGATATGATAGTCCGTTCGAGGAAAGACGCGTTGCTCGTGATGAGAGATCTAGAGAATCGAGATACGTGATTCAAACTACGGAACGAGCGTCCTTCGATGACCATCGTCATCATCACCATCATCACCGGCATCCTCTTTACCCTGGCGACAAGTTGAGAAACAGTGGAGCCAACATTAGGTAATATATTTAACATACGAGTTAGAGAAGTCTCACATTTCTTTATACTTTAAACATTAGATCAAAGAATATTTTTAATATGCAAAATTGTTGACTTATACTTTTCTATGTTTTTTCTTCAAAAAGTGTAATAGATAATTCGTCAGAATTAAAACAAGGATTACATATTGTTAAACAGTGTTTGACAATTACACATTTTCTCTCTTCGTATTGATGCAATTATATTTTTCTTAATTTTATTATGTATTGTTTTTGATTGATTAGAGATGAAACTGTTTCCAACGATAATTGGGAAGGACATCATCGCGATGTGGAACATGGTCCACGAGATCGTGGTTATCAGCCAGTGGAATGGGAGGAGAGAGAATGGCGCACTAGAACAGTATGGGAAGGCAGAGATAGTCTTCCTCGTTCGGAGGTACATGATGACGAATGGAATTCTCGATATGACAATTCTATGGGCGACTGGAAGACCAATGATGCACGGAAATGGGATAATCAGAATGTGCACGTTCGATCACATTATAGAAACGAACGCTCGAAAGATTTGGAACACGGAGAACCCACACAACACAGGTAAATTTAATCGTTATATTTTATACAAGATTAAAAATGAAAATAATTAAAGTAATCTAAATATATTTATTACATTTACAGATTACTAATTGCGATTAATTCTTATAGCAAAAGGCGATCGTATAATGCGCCAGAATCAAGAGAAGAGCCCGCGATTCATCCTTCTGCCAAGCAAGCTGCTATTTATGGCAGCATGAAAGAAGAACCTATTAATAAGAAGTTGATGGAACTCGCCGAAGGTAGATTGTGTACAACTACCAGAGAAAAATCCTCGGATAATTTTCAAAAAAAGAACTCGCAAAAAGACAAGTCTGAAGTCAAAGAATCTGTCCCAGTGGAACCGAAGCGTCCTGTCGCTGATGAATCCTTGCAGACTCTTCATACTGAGAGCGACTTGAGTGATATTAGCGATGATCCCGATGATATATTAAATATGGAAGAAGATACCACGGTACGCGTATCATATTTTCATGTTTCCTTTACTTGCTGCAAAAAATGTTAATATTTTAATATTGTATGTTATTTTTTGATAGGATATAGAAACTAATAAAACACGAACAAATAAGAAAGCACCAGATACTACGAATCGAGATGCACAATCAACTACACAAGAATCGGCTCAGTTATCTCCAAAAGAACCTGCGGAAGAAACTATTTTTAGTTCCAAGTCTAAGGATAATGCCGATACCGTGTCATTGAAGTAAGATATATAGATCATAAAGTGTTAATCAAATTTTTCATTAAAAATTAAAATTTCGTTCTTTAAATTATTTATTTTTATTTATAAAAGACTTCTAAAATATCTAATTTTACATATGATTATTAGGAATATGGAAGATGACAATATGGAAACTATGGACTTTGAAGAAATTTCTGACGGTGAACTAGAAGAAGACATCAAAACAAGCGGTAAAGGATTGGGTGATGCCTTAGGAGTCGATTGGGAGTCTCTCGTGAAGGAAACACAAGCGAAAAGAAATGACTCGTCTAATCAAGATTCCACGGAAAGTCGATGGCAATGTAGAGCCATCTTTTACAGAATTGGTATATCTAAAAAATATGCGGGTGACGATTTTGTGAAAAAACTATTAAAAAAATACGAAAAAAATGGTGAGTATATAATTTCGTTGAATTTAAAATAAGTTTTTTGGTAAATAAAAACTTCAATTTTTTTTTATAGATCAGAAAGAATTTTTACTGAGTGATATTGCACTAATGCACACAGCACTTGCGCGAAATCGATTGCTTCAAGATTTAGGTAATAATGCAATGCATACTATAGACGATTCTTTGTACAGGTAAGTCGTTTTTCTCAAATTATATTTATATTTAAGATTACAAAATTTGCTTTATGCTGCATTACAAAAATATCTTAACAATTACAATAAAAAAATTTAACATATAATGGAATTTAATTGCAGAAATCATAATGCAAGCTACGATGAAGACGTGGATTACGATTGGGAAACATTGAAGCCAAGTACTGCTTTGTACGAAGAAGCGAAATGTTTATTGCAACAAGTGACACGAAAGGATAATGAGATTTGTACATAAAGTTATAAATAACTGTTTTCCTTCTATCATCACATAAATTATACATACAGAATGGGATTGGGTGCAAGCAACAAATTTTACAGTAATTTAAATTCATCAAAATCATTGAAGAGTATACAAGCTTCACGAAGAAGCACGAATATGTTATTAATTTTCGAACATTTTGTTATAAGGTATGATCATTCTCAATTATATTATTTCCATCTTACTGTATATATACTTTTTCCTTCATTAATATTTCTCATCTTGCAATAGATTTTATCATAACGCGATTTATAATTGACATGTAATTAAAGATTTGAATATAATTTCCATTTGAACATTTACATTTTTATTTTGATAAAGATTATTAATGAATGTTTTAAATATCATATTTATCATACAAGTATATATACATTATAAATTTTTGTATTATATACGATGTATACTTTGTAAATTAAAGTATAGAATCAATTAACCTGTGAAAATTATAATATAGAATAATACGATACATTCTTTGTTTCTGTGTTCTCACAGTATATTGATATATACATCTCCATCCAGATGTCGAATAATGCAATACATATAAAAAGTGTAAAGTGTAAAAGCGACCGATTAATCGCTTTTGCGAACACAAGCTGCGCCGACGTCGTTCTGTAGTATACTCATTGCTTTTCGTAACAACAATTCATTATCGTCATCCTAAAAGAAAAAAAGATTTAATAATTAGGGTATGCGTAATAGACTGAACTATTCATCATACTTTTATGTCCGGATGTGTTTGTTCACTATCATCGGAAATTTGACGTTTAAACAATTCAAGATTTGTACGATATAGCTCATATAAAACAAGACCTGAAATATAATTAATATATATTAATTATATTAAAAAATTAGATTTTAACTTTCCTATTCTATTTATAAAATAATATAATTTCGAGAACTCTAGTATATCTTAAAATTTCTTAAAATCTCTTATTTTGAATTAATATACTATTAAATTACTATATTATACATTTGTTTCGTTGACATTATTAGAATTACAAAAAGAAAAATATAATCTTTATTTCAACTTTTCTTATCTTATACATGTCGCCTTTATTCACAGGCAAAGAAAAGAAATAGAAAAATTCTAATACATAGAAAAGAAGTTTCTTCTATTTACCTTTTTTAATAGAATCTCCAGAACCCAAAGCATCCAAAGCGGAAAGTATATCGTTGCAATATCCTTTTTTAATTCTAAGTTCTGTATCCGTGAGATCTGCAATATAAAACAAATTATATTTCACATTTATAGCCTATATATGTATATATAGAAGTGTGCAATATAAAAATAATAAAACTAATAATAAAGCTTGTAAAATACTTCACAAGAATATTTATGGAAAGTATGGAAAATGTAATGTATATCGTACCTTTCCATTTAAGATCAGGAACTCTTCCAAAATATGAGATTATACGATACTTGACATCTAACAGAATGTAATTAGTGGTAGGTACCAATTTCGATAATACTGATTCTATAAATCTTAAGATTTCTCGTGGAGTCTTGTGTGTAGCGTCGGATACAAATGCTGTCAATCCCGAATGAATGCATCTGATCTGTAAAACAGCGAAGCTCACGTTCATGAAGGGAAAAATCGAGATAAACCTTGATGTTGTACAGAAGCGACCTATAATTTTGCAAATGCTATTAAATGTTCAAATACCTTACCAATACGCAAATAAATAAACTTTCTAAAATTAATGGAGGGATACATTTATTTTCCGAAGAAAAAAAGTTAGAGATTGCTACGATTATTCTTACTAAATGTAAAGGTACACTGTTTTCAGCTTTTAGGTATCACCTGTCTGTAATTCACTCTGGTCTGACACTTGTCACAAATCCAGAATGACTCATAAATGAGAGGATTATGAGGTAATAAATATCCCGTACAATTATCCTTCGCGCAAAGAAGTGCGCCGAGTCGGGAGCCGAATTCCTAGAATAAAAACGAAAAACATCTCGAATGAACGTTGCAAGAAACTGTTACGACGCGGACGTACCCGAGGATCGGAGCATCTGCTGCAGTTGCAAGAGAAGTGTTTAGTGAGCTTTAAAAATTGTCTTCTAGTCGATGTGTCCCACAATAGATCGGTATAGGACATAGTAATCTCTTCGCCAGCAGCGATGGGCAGCGCGGCGCACACATGTAGCCGTTGCTGATCGTCGAAATAATGCCTGGTATTCGGCACACAACAATGATTTTGTAATGCACCCATCGGATAAAGACCACGTAAACTCGTGGTACGCTCTTTGTTCCGCGAAGACACGACCACGACTTCGAACGAATTTGTATTAAGGACGTCGCAAGTGCGTTTTATAAGTTTCATTTGCTCTTCGCTGGGAAGATTGGCCACGTTTTTCTTGAGTAAGTCGAGCTTCGGCAGAAATTGTAATACCTTATTATATGATATTTCTTGTTTTAATATTATATGGAAGAACTATTAGGTGATACAAGATTAAGCAAATAAGTTTGATATTACTTATAATTTTTATCAATCGCATACATGAATAATCAAGATATAGAAATATATGAAAATAAACTAAAGAAAGAAAATATATAGTAATAAACAAAATTTTCAAGAATTCAGCTAATTTTTTGTGTGATATTAAGCGTATGAATATCATTGAATATCTTATATAGAAGAAATGTACCTCACAATTGCGAATAAGGTCCTCATGACACTCGAAACTGTACAAGAGTTTACGTTGCTCTTTCGACAACGTAAGGCTACGTATTGGCACTACAGCGAGCAACAGATCTTTGGACCAGGTGGAACCACAAGTCGGCATCCATTCCTTCAGGAACCGGCACTCGCCTTGGCCGTGTACCGTGGTATTTTCACATTCCGTGGAACAAATCGGCAAACCGCAGCCGTGATCGCAGGGGAACAGGGGACAATCATTGTTGTAACATACGACGCACATCGACAGATTCTTGCTGTATCGCGGCCCTATCAACATTGGGATATCCGTAAAGATTAACTCGCCAGCTTGAATGTCTCGTGTGGCGAATATACCGCGACCTCCGAGAGGAGAGCGATCAACGACCCATGATGAGCTGAGCTCATCTTGCAAAAGATTATTCTCTCGTAGACGATGGGACTTGAGTAACTCTTCTATCTCGTGTGGTTCCATAATTATAAACTATGCGCTCTGCGTATACGTTTTTCGATCTTTCCTCTTAACGCCTCAATCTTCTTCTTTTATATCGGATGAAATGTGTCGCTTCAACACGGCACTGAGCCAGTTTCGCGTAACTAAGCTAGGAAAATGTTATTTTGTTGACTGGCGCAAATAATTTTGTTGACTGGCGTATCATTTTCAAACGGATCTACTATTATTTAAAGCATAGAGTTCTCCTCAAATTGATATGACTCATGGTAAGATCATTTTAATCATTTTAATTGTTGTGTTTGAATGGAAAGATATTTATAGTATTTTTTTTTTAATTAATCCGTAAATTTTCCAGGTTTGATGATCTATAAAAAAAAGACTAACACCCACGAAAACTACTTGACGGCAAGATTGCAAGAGGTATCATCGTGACGTGCGGATATTTATATACGTCCTTTGTCAGATGTGATATATCCAAGTCAGTGTTGGAAGTACCAAAGACTTTCAACTTTCGTAACAGGTGTGGATCATCTTTTCTCTCGAATTAATTATATAATTAGCGCCGGGATTAATATCACGAAATCGTGAGAATCGCGAGTAACACTGTTCCATGAGTCAGCGTGCTCCCGTTATAAATCTTAAAATAGAATTATAATTTGGCAGCACATCGACACCGAAAATTAGCCAATTTGCCTCTCTGTTTACAGTTTACGCGTGTTTACAGTTTTGCGAATTGTCAACAGATTGTAAATAAAACATTTGAGAACTCGTAGAGTGCAGAGAAAATAGAAAATATTATTAATTATACATTTGTATCTATTTTAGTTAAAATTTTTCGTAGGACGAAAAATATATTCAATGTAAAATTACATTCAACGTATATAACAACATCGTCACGGCTTTGCATCACGGTCGCGATCGATTTACTCTAAAAATATAATATTGATTCGTTCTTTGACTCGCTCGCACGACAAAAGAAATATCGTCCTATGTACATTGTACTTTGCAAACAATTAATCTTACGTTTCATTTTTATCAACAATTAACGATCAATTGTTGCAAATCATAGTCATAGCGAAATCAATTAAAAAATTGTTTCGAATTCTCGAGTTTGCAGATTGCAAACGTAAAATATCCAAAAAGCATATCATCCCTCTATTTTATATAATAGTATTTATATAACTAAGTTTATGTATTTATAGTAATGTCAATTAATGTCATTTAATGTCGATACGATTGCTTCACGCAAGCGTACAGCATGTAATAGTTATTTGTATGGTCGAACGTTGCTAAGACTACGGTTGGTGAGGCCGCGTCGTCGACAGGGTATCGTGAGCGGCATCGCCAAGAACAACGTGCATACAACGTATATACACGGCCAATGCCGCGCTAGCGATATATGCCTATGGCATATTGTAACTGTGTAACAGAGATTCTTGAAAGTGCCGTGTTTCTCGACGACCCGCGTTTCTCCCCCTTTTTTTTTTTTTCCTATTGTCCATCGTCGCACAGAAATGGGAAGGTAATCGAAAAGGGCGGTCGGCCCTCCCCTTTCTCTCGGCGAATCCGCTTTTTAGACTTTTCAGGAATCGTACGACATTCTCTTCGACCGATCAAGTGTAATTAATTCTCCCTCTGCGGCGTTTTTTTACTTGATAAACGCCGAAATTCACGAGAAAGGTCACGGACAAACATTGGCATAGTGACGTGACTAAAAACCATACTATTACTTCAGCTTAATCGAATCATTATTTTATATTGAGAAAGTTCATCTTTTTGAACTCGAGAGAATTTACGTATTTCTCTAGTCTTATATAAATATATCTAAAGATTTCTATATATTTTTTATATTTTTGTTATATTATTAATATAGAATTAGTCAATTTTCCAATTGCTTTTAAATTGTAATAACTCCATCCAATTTATATGGAGACATTTTCTTTATTTCATCAAAAAGTTACAAGTACTGTTTGTTTAAATATGATTAGTACCTGAAATATATCTTTGAATCTGCTTGAAAGATTCAAAGATTTATTATTATTATTATTCAACACGAAACAGACAGATTTATACCGTTAGTTTACATCATGTAATGGCTGTGTGTAGATCCTGTCGTGTTACACGACATGTAATGAACGTAACGTATATACACCAAATATACACATACTCCAATATACGCGTGCACATATTATATACATACACACACATTAGCGACAAATCGACATATATGTATGTGTATCATGCTCTGATCATGCTGTAAAGGTATGTAAGGCTACTTAGGCTGGCTTATAAATGGAGTTACTATCCGTCATCTGCAAGGACCGCATGTAAAAGTATTTTTACCCTGATAGTACTATCGTCCACGATTATGGTGTTTGCATTAGGATCGGATTGTAGCGGGGATCCTTGCATGTACGGAATCTGTTTGGACAACGAGAACAGGTACATACACATATAGTTTGCGCTTGTCAGGCATGCATCTCGTTAATCTGATAAGAATCAAGCGTATAATCTCTCGTTGGATATAAGACAGATATAGCTCGCGCTATAGAGAAGATAAATATAGTGCTTTGTTCTGGCTATTCTTAGAAGCTCACACTAAGAAGATGAAGACATATGATTAACTTATTTAGATCAATTGAATATCGATATTGTCTATAAGATAATGTCTATATTATACAAGAGTTTTTAATTTTTCTTAAAAATTTATAAGATTTAACATTGTGTGCTCTTAATATCATTGATTAATTTGGAGATATGATGAAATAATTAAAATAATAAAAAAGTCTACTCATTTACACTTTATGATTTTTCATGAACGACGCAGTACCTATTCTTGCTACTGTATCGACGGTTACACGGGAATTAATTGCGAAATTAATTGGGATGAATGCTGGTCGGATCCTTGTCTTAATGGTGGCACATGCAACGACGGGGTTGCCGCATATAATTGCAGTTGCCCTGATGGTTTCGTAGGTAATCCAATTTTTTTCATGTCACTCGTTATAAGGGAATTTCTGAAAACAAATGGTTCATTTTAAATAATCGATAGGTGTGAATTGTGAGCAAAGATACAGCGAGTGTTCAAATCACCCGTGTCTCAACAATGGGACCTGTATCGATTACGACGGCGTCACTTGCCAATGCCTGGATGGATATTCAGGTACAATACGCGCAAGATAATGACAAGAACATTCAAGAAATTTTCACATCGCCATTTTCTTGTTTTATTTTTAGGAGATTACTGCGAGATCGACGCTTCGGTCTGCAATGAGACAATGTGCAAAAATTCCGGCGAGTGCGTCGAAGGGCCTGGTTTCTCTTTCTATTGCCGTTGTCGCGAAGGTAGAAAATCCTAAAATTTATATGTATAAAAAATATTTTATCTTTTTATTTTTTTTATTCTTGTTAATTATAATGATATTTTACTCTTCTCATGACTTTATGATTTGAAAAGGATGGACCGGTACCCTCTGCGAAATAGACATTGACGAATGCTTGGAATCACCATGCAAAAATGGTGGTCTCTGCATCAATGTTCCATCCTCTTATACTTGCGCTTGTTTATTCGGTAAGCAGATTATTCTTATCCATGAGTTCACAGAAGTTGAAAACTTTTTCATCTAGAAATAATGGTTCATAAAATTCACAATCCATATAAATGAAATTATAAAGTCTCAATATTATAAGCCTTAATATTATTTAATTAATGAACAATTCTCACACCATTATCAAAGGTTTTACTGGCAAGGACTGTGACAAGGCAATTGTACCCTGCAAGGAAAATCCCTGCCAAAATGGAGCGGTATGTCTGTTGGAAGACGATCGTCCAGTTTGTTACTGCGTGCCCGATTATCACGGCGCACTTTGTGAGCTAAGATACGACGATTGCGAATCGAAATTCGCACAGTGCGACAACGGAGGTACCTGTATCGATGGTATCAATAGTTTCACATGTTCGTGTCCACCGAATTACGGTGGTCTCATGTGCGAGCATAGCTTCCTCTCGACGACTACCGTAGAAATGGAAGGCACATCCGAGCACGGAACGAGTCCAGTTAAAGTTACAACTGCTATAGTTTCACCTAGGGACTCGACTTTGACAGTGGACACTTTTGCATCTTTGTCGACTGTCAGCTTTACTACTTCCCCGCAAATAAGTAGTTCATTTTACACGAAGAAATATACAATTATAGAAAAAACCACGACGTCAGAATACGAGGCTTCTAGCATTAGCGGTGAGAGCAATATTTTTCTTACTGAAGTTCCATCTATGAGTTCGACTGGTAAAGAGTCAACTCGAGATGATTTCATTACGTTGGAGCCCGTAACGATGTCGCCCACTACCGAAGGCTATTTCCATGAGACTGAAATAAGAAGTACTGAAGTTCATTTGCCCACTGGAAGATCGATTCACGATGGCGAAGTAACAAGAGAGCCTGGTGATTATGATCAGGCAACAAAGATACATCCACCGGTTTCTGACAGAGTGGATGAAAGTACAACGGAATACACGATCAGTTCTAGGTAAATAAAATATTTTGTAACTTCTTAAAGATATCAAAATCGATATATGTAAAAATTAATATTAAATATCAATTTGATCACAATGATAAGCAATTTATATTGTATAAAATTTTTTCTGTAACACTATTCTAAATATATTCTTTAAAAAAATCAGTTACTTTATAATAGATATATAGATATGTACAGTTTGATTTAATTTTATAATTATATTATTAATTTTATATTTAACTTTATATATTTTGTCTCTTAGTCAACAGTCCACGACGGTGGACATAGAAGAAGGCCAAAAAGACGATAGAACTGATACAAGCGTTATCATGGATCACGCTACCGATGTAACGCTTTCCATCAATACAACTCTCCAACACACGACGGATTCGGTACTAAATAGAACGTTCGAGCTTGGAACTACGATCATGGATACGCCTAGAACTGTTCTATCTTTAACTACCTCAACACTGCCATCAATATTATCTTCAACTGTGAGAATCGATACATCTTCCTCGTTAACATCTACTAGCGTATCCTCATTAAGTCAAACCACTGCCACTGATATTAGCGAAATTAGCACTACAGAAATCAGCGCTTGTCGCGGAAATCAATGTTCCACGAGCACTACTGCGCTAACACCGCGAAATGTTACTGAAGTAAGTGATTTATATAAGAATAAAAGAAGAAATTACTTTATAGAGAATTTCAAAACTGAAACTATATATACTTTAATCTTCTATTTATTTTTTACTTTCACTTGTCTTTCACTTTTATAATAATCCGCGTATCAAATTTGAATAGATATTAAGTTAATTTTTTCTTAAAATAAAACATGATTACTTGGTATACTTATAATTGTTATTCAGTATTCAGATGGCTGCAAGACAGATTCCACTATTACGCAAGCAGCCTTTAACGGCAAATCTTTCATTAGACAACGCGTCGAAGTAATAATGACTGATAGTAATAGTGCGACGCTCCAACTTTACGTTAAGCTTAGAACGGCATTTAAGAACGGAATTATATTGCACGTTTACTTTGATAACGAAAGATATTCTTTGGTATACTTGGAACTTGGATCATTGAAATTCCAATTTTCTTGCGGCCTAGAAACTATGTTACTCGGTGAAATCGATGCCATTATCGATAATGGATTCGAAGTAGACATTGATATGAGGTATGCCGCTTGTTATTATTTAAATAGAAATAGAAAAAGAATTCATTTCTAATAATTATGTATGAAAATAGAAACAAAAAATATTTATTTTTATTTTGCCATAGCTTTCAATATGTTGCCAATGATGAAAATGAAAAATGTTTTGCCAAATTGCTGGTCAATGGCACTATGGCTGTGACTGGCGAGCAAATACTGCCACAACGAGGAATGGTCCCAAAATACGCTAATTTGTATATAGGAGGCATTCCATTAACATTCTCACATTATTTTCCTCATGTAGCCATGGGATTCATTGGTTGCATGAATTCTTTAAAAGTACGTTTTATATATTAAGAATAAAATTCATCTTTTTTTCATAATATGGCAAAAAAATTGCAAAAATTCTATCAGCTCTTACGTAAAATGGATCGGATGTATTTAATAAAAATTATATATATTATATTGCAGGTAAATGACGTTTCGCGACATTTTATCCATGATTCCATAGAAACATTTCAAATCGAAGAGTGCACATCGTTTTTGTGTTTGTCAAATCCATGTCAGAATTTCGGTGCCTGTGAGGAAAGCGAAGGAAGAATTCGTTGTAAATGTATAGCGGGGTAAATATATATTAAATGGCTGATAATTAAAGTCGGATTTTTCGTTTCTTTTTTTAAATACTAATATTTACCTTCTCAATTTTAATTTACTACTTATCAATATTGACGCAAAAACAATAATCAAGTCTATAAAAACAAATACTCAACACCGAGGATTATTTATAGGTATACTGGGCCTTTATGTGAACATTCAGCATGCAACGACAATCCCTGCTCAATGGGTGCGACGTGTGTAAGCTCACCGGGAACTGGTTTCATCTGCGTTTGTCCGCTCGGCAGTCGCGGGCTTTTCTGCGAAGAAGGTAAGGTGTCGTAGTAACGGAACATTCCATGGACATTCTATAAAGCGACAATGCAATAAGATCGCAATGCAACAAAATTCTTACAAAGCATCCTCTCAGATGCCATCCTAGTGCGGCCGGCTTTCTCGGTCCTCGTTCCTGGCTTCGCGTCGTATATTGCTTATGGTATATCGACTTCGATAAAAGACACAATGGAGCTGAAGCTGCGACTCATCCCGCGTACATTCGATCAAATCTCCCTGATAGCATACCTCGGACAGAGAAGCTCGCGCCGTGACGTCTCGGACCATCTTTCAATAACGTTCGTGCGTGGCTACATTATGCTTACGTGGGATTTGGGTTCCGGTGAGTAATTGACAAATGTAAATTTAGATCTCCTCTATTTTCGAATTTATGTATCTTTTTCAGCCTTTGATCATATCTTAAATAATAGATCATGTAAATTATATTTATAATTTTCATTGCCTTTATGTAGAATAAAACTTTTCCATCGAAATGTGTACTGAATAAGCATATAGTTCATTGCATAAAATTTTGAAGATTTTCAATTTTAAACTATTTAAAATTTATTTTGATATTAATTTTTTTAATAGGAGTACGAAGAATCTTTACTAGTGATTCGTTGAGCTCTTTGAACGTAGCAGGATCGGCTAGTAAAAGTAAAACGTATACCCTTCGAGTCGGAAGGAGAGGCAAGGAAGCGTGGCTCGCTGTAGAGGGTCTCAAAAATGTGACCGGTCAGGCCGTAGGATCTATGACTCAACTCGATGTATCACCCGTTCTCTATATTGGTACGTCGTTGTAAAGAAAACAAATTCAGGCACAATGTCAGTATGCAAATCGTTTTTCATTATATATTTTATAAAAAATGTAACCTTTAAATTCTCATCTTTCTGTTGATATTAAACGCAATCTAGACAGTGAATGAATAGAAATTGTAATAAGAAAATATTTAGTATGAAATATAATTAAATACAGAAAATTTTTCTCATAGGTGGTTACAAATCTAAAAATTTTGAAACATTGCCGCATGATCTACCTCTCCATACTGGTTTTTCCGGATGTATATTCGATGTCGAACTACGTACAGACACAATAATTCTTCCACTGACTGGCTCTAGTCCTGCCACCGGTCGTGGCGTAGGTGAATGCAATCGCAGTGAATGCATTCGCCATTCATGCAAGAATGGCGCGGTATGTTTACATCACGGAGCATCATACAGGTAATACATAAAAAAATCACAATTTTTATTGTTATATAACAGAGAAATGTAGGAAATCTTTTGGTTCACAGAACACATGTGTTATATAACTATATATATATATATATAATTATTCATTGACTTTTTAGTTGCATTTGTACAAAGGAATGGGTTGGGCCTGATTGTTCTATTCCTATCTGATTCGTCACTGGAAATGATCTTTTGGATGCGTATAAAGAATTATCTCTATTCTTATTAATTAACACAAAGAAAGTGATCGATCAGCATCGATGTTACAATGTTATATATATTACAGTGAATATGTTGTTTTTACAAATTTTATATCTATTAGTGGTTTTTTAATAATTTATATAAGATTAGCTTACATTAGACGCGTTATTTTTGGGTCGAGAAGTGGAGGAGTGAGAATTTAAATATACGAATAACATCGCCGCCGATAGACGAGCCTGCAAGTCTTGTTTGCTGTACTCATGATGCCACTCCACATTACCCCAATGAGACATCTATGCATGAAAAAAAGATAATAATGATAAAGAACGTATAATGGATAACAGAGACCAAGCAGGATTTTGATTATAAATCAGGTCGAAGTGACGTATACCTGATATTCTTCTTCTAAGCGTGAAAGACTTACAGCTTCTGGAATATTAATTATTCTTGCAGCTGTGGCAAGAGTTAAAATAACTGATTTCAATCCATCTACAGCATACATGAGACCTACAAATAATATACAGTTAATATACAGACTCTATCTCATAAAATCACATTATTACCATAAATGCTATTAAAATTATGTGACAATAAATGTTTCGTTAATGTAGCTTTGGTTTCCATAGAAACTGTAGGTGCCTGTATGCTTTGAGTTCTTGTGATATCTACATTGTAATGCTTGCAAAACCAATGAACTATAGGTTCCCATTTTTCAATTTGTAACCGATACAGTTCATCCACTTCCTAAAATCATAAAAAAATCTAATTGCAATCGAGACATTGTTGCATTATGGAAAAAATATAGAAATGATATATATATAAATACATTCTTACACTTGAGTAAAACAAAATGGTATCCATTTCTAAACAGTTCACAATGTAATTCACCAGGTCTATCTTGGTACGATTGTGAGGATTGTCTAAAACAGTATTGCATAAAGATGTCTATAACAGAAAACCAAAAAAAATGTTAGGCATATACATATACCTAGAATACAGACAGAATATCATATAATATGCACTAATAATGCCAAACATTTGTAATATGAGAATAAATTTCTATACTCCATTAAATCAGTCGTGAATAAAATAATAATAAACTTTATATTCGATTTAAATTGATCATATTGAATGTGAAATTTAAGACAACAATGCCAAGTTGTACAATTAAACTGATTATACCAGATGCATACTCCCTCTATCGATGATCTCCTTCTGAGCATCCCATTCGGCAGCCACTGCTAAAGCCAGAGGTTTGCTCTTCACTTCGAATATCCTACCTTGCGGTGTCTTCAGCTTCCTCTGGTCCAGCGTAACCTCAAACTTGTCATCATTCGAAAGTATATTTGTCCTTTTATAAAATCGTTTCACGGTGGCTAGAAGTGTCAAATTATTTTATATATCCAGTAGCAATAATATTCAATTAAACATCACGTTTCTTAAAACTATTTAATAGCAGAAAACGTCAAGAATCTAATAACGTATTTTAAAGAACATGATTATTACCCATATTTCTAATAATCAAAGATACTGGCACAAATTTATGATGTGTAAAATAATATACTGTATTAACTAATTTGTTAAGTACTTTCGGCATGTTATTTATTATTGTTCTTTCAAGTATTTAAAGGAGCAGATGAAAACATTGACAAATGGTGCCACACGGTAAATCGCAACTTCTAGCTCCTAAAAAAAGCACGGTCGATTTACAGTACTCTATTATATTGACAATGATACAGCAGAAATTATAATGAACAACTGTCAATATTCAAGATTTCTTCCAAATAGATACATTATTATATATTATTATATATAAATCATATATAAATCAGAGAGGAACCTTAAATATATTTATATATATATATATATATATATATATATATATATATATAAAAATTGTATTTGTGACTGCATGTTTTCTCTAACAATGTTTTTTCTAAAATAATGAAATAAATTGGATATTTAGATGTATTAAATTTTTATAAAAGATCATAAAGTTAGTAAAAAATATAATTTCTAAATTTGTCAAATTTTTTTTCTTCTTTTGAAATAATTCATTTTTTTATATTAAGTTAATATATAATTATGCAAAATTTTATAAGATGAAAAGGTATCGAAAAAACTCCGTTGATGTATAAAATACGAAATATATATATTTGCTTTTATAGCATAACATATATAATTTAGATAAGTATACATATCTTATAGGTGTTACATTATATCATAAGATCAACGATATAAAAGATGACAGTTTATTAATATATACAAAAAAACGGCAAAAAGTTGCATAATATACAATACCCCAATGTATATATGTGTATGTGCGCTTTTTGCATTCTGTAGCCGTTAAAAAGATAATGGTAGTTGTATCCATGTGCACACATATCTTATATTTGCGAATTATATTACAGTTGTCAAAGAAACAAAGTATTATTATTGTAGATTACGAGGAAAATTCATCCTTGTTCGATGCAGACGCGAGAAAAAATCGAACACGTACGGAAAAGAAAATATTGAAAAATATAATAATTCCGTCAACAGATTTCGTTAAAACACACAGATATGAATTGTTAACAGAACTATTTTTAAAAAGACATACAAAGCTGAAAAAATGGTCTTTTTATTTAAAAGTTAGCTTTGAATGGATACCAGTTATAAGTGTACAAAATAATTTTAAAAAATTCTTTAGAAATTTATTTTTGAGTATTCTGTCGAATCTCATCATTGTTGATCACAATTAGTCAATTGATTTTTTATGAACTTTTATAAGTGTGCTGTTGATTGAGAAGTGCACTCAATTTGAAAAATGCGTCCATTAAAAATGATTTACGTGAATAAAAGATTTTCCACTGGTTAAGGCATTATAAAACACGCTGTAGAACATATTCGTCGATCGCGTTTTTGTGCCTCTTATTGTGCTGCTAACAAACAGCATCAAATCGTATTTCCATATTTTCTAGAAAAAAAATCGTTCGTAGAAAATTAATCCCTCATTAATATTTTTACAAACGTTATTTATGTAAGAAAAAAATTATTCATTATCATCTTGGGGCTAGTATTGTCCGTTTGATTAGTTTATGCTTAGTCATCTACCTAAATACGAATACTAAGCCTACAAAGATAATATGAACTAACGCTCGTGGAAGCACCCTGAATCACTGAATGACAGTCACAGGCCCATGTCCTCGATTTAACGCAGCATTTAACTCTCAAATATAGTCATTTAAATCGGAGCTTCATCTGCTTGAAACATTCAAATTAGAAAGATGAATATCGAATGAACACCTTTAGCGTTGAAAATGTGACGAGAACATGGGCCAAGATCTATTGTCAGCGGTCACGAATAGACGGCGAATTATGCATTTCGCCATCTCACGCATACATTTCGTTTCATTCGTCTCGCTATCTCTAAATTTGATCAAAGAAGGGACGATAAGTAATCGTTACTCTTGACACAAACAATCGTGATGCGACACGCGTTTAAACGTCATCATTTCTCTATCTCGATACTATCATGTGTTTCGGTTTGGACTAGGTTCAATTGTCGTAGATTCACGACTTAAAAAACATTACATATTCGCGCCGGGATAATGGATTGGAGGAGAAGGGATATATGCAATAATTAAGAGCCAGTGCGCTGTTCGTTTCTCAAACGTAGCTCTCATCGTCGACGACGGATCTGCCAAATCCTAGATGCCTCGTTGTGATAGGGGCGCGAGGCTGTGGTGGAGGTCGATATGGCGGCGGCGGCGGTAGAGACCTGGATCTACCCGCCGCTTTATGCCTGTCTTCAAGGTTCATGTGCACCGGCGGTAGATGCCTGAGTCTCGGTGGCAATGGCGGTGGTGTATCCGGCCATGATGCCGTTCTCTCTTCCTGCTCGTCCTCGCTGAGGTCGATTACTATGTTCTTGTACGAATCGTTCGTATCCGCGGTCCCGTAGACTTCGCTCGATCGACTCCTGTTCTCGCAATAGCTAATTTTACTATCGGACTCACCATTCGATTCCTTATTTTTGTGATACTTTAGCGCTTCCATGTATATCGCCTTTACCCTAACGAAGTCATCGTACATTTCACGACCGCGAGTTTGGCGACGGCGATCATTCTCCGACATCGATGATTCCAAACTTACATATTGGACTTCGGAAGATTTGACCTTCTTAAATTCATAGCAATCGTTACTAGAGCGGGGTGTATCGCTGCCACCCGTCAGATCCTGTTCCGAATTGTGAATCGACACCCGCTCGGCACTTCGGATATCTTGCTGTGAACTCTTGCTATCGTAATCCTCTGATAATATATCGTAGTTTACATTTAACTGCCTGTTCCGATAAGTTTTGCAGTTTTCTACATTCTCCTTCATCGCGTCCTGTCTGAGGTATTCTCTATCAAACATGTCTTTGTCGACGAATCTCTCTTTTCTATGCTCGTGCTCGTCAAGTTTATTCGTTCTAGGTGTTCTCTTGAGCTGTGCCCGTAGCCAATCCTGCCGCTGAAAATTGGACGATTGAGATGGGTTGGAGTAACATCCGTTGGCCTTTTCCTCTCTGAAATTATGCTCCGTGCTGTTCGTATGATTATGATTACCAGACGTGTAACCATTTAATCTTTCTTCCCATCCACATCTATAAACCGGCATGTAGGTTTTGCCATTAGACTTCTCCTCCTTCGCAAGAGGCTTGTCATAATTGGTAGACGATGGGGCATTCGGAGCAGAATCTTCTGAGCCTACGGGCGATTCTGGGATGAATAATTGGCAGTCTGACAAGGTTAAGCCCGAGTCTCTTGACAGTGACATAGGATCTCTACGTGGTGCCTCCGTCAGATCCAGACTATCCAAGGATATTCCACCTGCTGCATCATAAGAAACATGTGGATAATGTAATTATTAAAATATTTTCTGCACATTTTAAAATATTTAATATTCTTTTCTTTTTTTAATAACAAAGTGATGTGATACTTACAGTGAAGACTGTCGGTGCTTTCTTCAGCTCCGCTGTCGCTACGTGTGTCTTCTCCGAGAAGCTGTATGACTCCTGCGCCGAACAAATCCTCACAATGACGGATCAACATTTCCGTGATTGTCGGGATTGCTCTACTCTGATTTACCGATGGGTTCGAGGACCAAAGTAAACTCGGACCGCAACAGACGCCAAGATTGCTGGCACACATGAGGTTACGTTTTGATCGCCTTGCCACATGATGCAGTACGCAAATTAAATGCGAGAGTAATGTATAGTTCGCCTTTGGCAGTCTATCTAGAATGCTGAGATTTTTTTCAGTTACTTTTATGTTAATAAAAAAACTAACTTTTGCATTTTACATTTTAATTTAAATAAATTCCATACCTTTTAATGGTTTTGACAGGATTCGGTGTATCCAAACTATCCATCCAAAGAGGAAACAAGTGGGAGGTCAAGAGGGGATCCGGTAGAGATCTCAAGAAGTCCTTTAGCAAAGCCGCCACTGCTATGATCGGCGCATCCTCCAGGCAACTAGGATCTCCCGTAGATTCAATCTGTTCTCGCAACTCTCGAACAATTCGAACATTTGCGGATTTGCGGAAGATTCCCTGCATAAACGGACCCTTCGCGAACAGCTGCTGCAGCATCACAAGAACAGGTTTGGGCAAACCGTTCTCGTCCAGCCGCGACAGATTTACGCCGAAGAGACTCGGATTCAATGACAGCGAGCGACGCAACAGACCGGTTATTTTCGACCGATTATTTTTCTTGGCGGGTGTCTTCATTACAGGCCTGAGGGTGAAGTGACACAGATCGACACCGCTATTATTGATGTGCACCAGATCGAAGCCTTCATCCGTAGACAACATGTGTCGTAGGCGCGACATCTTGATAGCGAACGGCCGCTCATGTCCTATCAACGGATACGACGGCTCGTCTGGAAACGTTCGAGCCCAAAGTTGGAAAGGTCCTTGAAGATCCCACAGCGGCATTGCCATGTTCACGCAGGTTTGCGCCGTCATCTCGGAACCGACCATGATTGTCTTGACCTGCAAGGTGCCAAATAGCACGTAATCTTCCCTCAGTGACTGTTACAAAAGGATGAATAATACGACTCGCGGTTCGTCGAAGCTTGTGTTTACCGACGATAGACAGCGTTTATCTAACGGAAATTCATTCGGCTGATCCAAGCGGCTTATACCTTTATACAACGTCGAAGAAATTATGAACGGCTGCCTGAAGGCGAAATGCCGACATAATATGCGGCGGCGATTCTAACTCGGCGTCGACGTCAGTGCGATATAAAAGACATCTCTCACGGAGAAAAATATCTTCAGGTTGAACGATCAAGTCCCACGGATTCGAATATGCACGAAGAATGGATCGCGCAAAGGCGTGACCGCGAACGTATCCGCTCTCGCGGATGAAAAAGCGGGTGCACTTACATAGTCGGTATGCGTGTCATTGTCGTGGTATATAACTTGAATGTTCGTATGCGGTGGCTCCTTCATGCTCTCCTCTCGCACGAGGTCGTTCAATCGTCCCCACCAGAGATCTCGCGCTGCAGCAGTCCTGCAAAGAATTCAATCGTGATAATAATTGCTGAATCTCCGAATCCACTAATTGATATTTTCTATTTATTTAGATATCTGTTACATGTAATTTTGGAAAAAAGCCCGCTTACATGAAAGTGGCCACGACGTTCGTGGTGGGCCAGCCGAGGACGAAGCTGGTTTCCGCGGACTTGCTGGTCTCCGCCACATCTTCTATGTGACCAGCCGTGAGCCAGAGCTCGCTCATCTTCACGACTTGCTTTAGCTTAAAATTTCCGCCGCTACGAGCTTTTGCGATCAACAGAAGGTCGGTGAAGAGAAACAGATGCCTCTCCTGAGATTGCATGCCCTAAAATCCGCAGCAAGTTTTAGGACTCGAATTGTTTTGCATTAAGCAAAATCTTAATTTTTATCAAAAGAGATAAACATATTTTATCTTGATAATTTTTCCGTACCGTAGTGAATTGAACTGGTGTTTCCAGCAAAAAAGTCCTAGTCGGCGATTTCGTAGGAGACGGAACACTATCCGGGACATCTAGAGCTTTTTGAGAAAGTCCTCTTGTCAGTCTGACTGGAGTACTACTGTTTCGTTTACGTAACATATTCTTCGTTTTCTGAAAAACAGATGGATTAGATTAAAATTTAATGAACAATCAATAGCCAAAGCTTAAAAAAAAATTTTTTAATCTGGTACAATAAATCGACATCTCTATTTGATATTTTGTTTTTTATAAATAAAAGACGAAAAACTTTTGAGATGAATTATCTGAGTAACAATATTTAAATGTGAATGGGACTATCTTTAAGATCTAAACATTCTTATAACAACTCGATTGGGAAATTTCGCAAAGCTTAGAATGCTAATTTTATTGCCGCATTGATCGTCACGTCATGTAACGTAAAAGAATCAGTTACGCTCAAAAAGTATCACTACCAAATTTGATTCTTTCGATGTATCGCAGGCGAGAACAGCGAATGCTCTCACGACAGAACGAGCCGATTAACATACGGACTTATTAGACTTTCTGAAGTGTCCCAACATCCTTTATTCTTCTCTCTCCGCTCTTTCCAATTACGAAATCACTTCTGGTGATCCCGGCCAGGCGGTCACCCACCTTCGTCTCATTATAATCGCATTGTTACAACGTATAAAAGCCCAGACTAAGTATCGATACATGTGATAACGGATTATCCGTTATAACTTATAACAATAGAAAGCATTGCCTGGAAATTTTTACAACGACAGTTTTGAGTGGTATCGAGAAACGCCAATCAATGCTTGAAAGCGAAGTGAATGTTTCCCATGGAATATAGAAACGCGAAAATAATTTTAAGAGATTTATTATTATTCCCATTTTCCAATTCTGTAAAAAAAGTGATATTTAAAAAAAATTAAACCTAATTAAAAAAAAAATACTAAAATCTACTAAAAAAAAAAATACTACTAAATTCTCTTTTTATTAAAGATTCTTTAATTTCTTTACAATATAAATCTTTTATTGCGGTGTTTCTGCAGTTATTATACGAAAAAGCGAGACGCGATTACAAATAATATAAATATCATTCGATTGTCATATTAATGTCAGCCTCCATCTTGGTGACATAGTTTCTATTCTATTTCCATGTATTTTTTATGCGAATGCAGAAAGCGAGCGCGCTCCACTGAATGATGACGGCACGCCGTCAATTTCACCGTTCGCAGCAGCCAACGGGTGAAAATACAACCGGGAGAAATTATCGGATACACTCGTATCCGGATGGATATACGCAAACGAACGTGGGAAAGAAGTGCGTATATACGCGGCTCTAAGCACTACATGCCGGGCGACACGCGAGCATTTTCCGCGGGCGCAGAAAAACGAGATGGCTCTAAACGATCGTGAGAAAGCGCTGAATTGCGCTGACATTATTGTCCGCGATACCGTTTTGTCAGCACCGTTGTTTGTCGTACGTTTTCCACGAGGGAGAACATCCTGCTTCACATAGACATTTTCGTCGCGATTGGTAATTAAAGTCTTGCTCGTTTCTTTGGGAATTAAAGGGGGGGTGGCGAAAAAAATAACACTCGTACCGTGGTGACGACGTCTCGTTCGTGCAGCCGCAAGTTGTCGCCGGGGAACAGCTCCTGGATACGATGGAGGTCACCCTCTAATTGTCCGCGATGAAGAACCGTCCCGCTGTCAATGCATTCGCTGTCTATCAGGTTCCTCGCTTCCTGCCCCAGGTACCTCTCGTAATCGGCGAGCCTTTGCACCTGAAATAAAAAAAAAAATAATATATATATATATATTTTGTAAGATTCCTTGTATCGCGTGAAAAAATCATCAAACATAAAGTCTTTAATATCACGCAAAAAAATTGCACGTACGTTGCGCACACGTTGATCGCTGCTTGAGAAATCTTCTTCTGCGTAATTGAACGCAGGAAAATTGCGATTGCGTAATGACGATCTTTGCGTAACTCTGATAATTTTCGACAAATCGCCGTCTGAATGCGATCGGTAATTTCCAATGGCATTGCGAAAGCAGCGGGGACGCGCGACTTTCTCTGGTATCGGACCTTACGTAGGTTAAAACGCAATATCGTTTTAATAATTGTTGCCGAACGCGGAAGCAAGCAAGGGGAACATCGATCGGATCGAGCACGACCTCGAAAATGCACGCGGATTCGTACAATTTCCGTCTTGCTACAACGAGCGCGATAATTATCATTCATTCGAAGGTGCGTTATGTAAATTGACAACATGTCATTATTCGATGTACGTATGATTGTGCTCACGTCACAGTCGTGGGACACGGTCTAGGAACCGACTCGTATTTCAACATATCACGTATGTACGTATAGCTTCATTGGACATTCATGACAGCGATAATACATAAGCATATTCTAACGAATCAATAATAAATGTAGCATTGCTCAAGAGCGAGAGCGAAAAAATTAAAAAAAAATCATTCATAGTATTCTTTTTAATTATTCTGGTTGTTTCTAAAAATGATGACTTAGAATTTAGCTAGATAAGGCATATCGATAATTACATTATTTTCCATCTTTTTCTCACTTTGGTATATCGATATAAATTTAAATAAATGTTTTTCTTCTTGTTACTTCACGTATAAACAAGATGTTATATAATATCTCTCGGCTTCCTCTCTCGCAATAGATAATTATCTACATCTCGCTGATCTTAAAATTCACCACAATCAATCATGATAATAAAATAGAAGACATATATTTCATATGTATGCCAAATGTAAATCTATCACACGGCTTACTGATTTCACAAGAACGCTATGTGACAAACTCCCTCTGATAATCTCATCTCTTGTGGAGGCTGGATGTTGGGGGTCTATCAAAATTCGTCGGTGACGCTCGATTATCCTGACTGATGGCTGTGGCGTATGCTGCGAACGGCCATGTGATTCGTTTCTTAATTATCATAACGTGGCAGGTAGTTACCGCGCCCGAGGAAATGTGCGCGAGTAGGCGGCCGTTGATGGTTGTCTTGAACGTGCTCTGAATTAATTCGCAGTTACCGCAAAATAACGCCGCCGGCGAAATTTCGAACGATCGTCGTCGTGCTCGCGGGATCTCGAGATGATGAGAGATATTCCCGACATGCGCGCAGCATCCACCGTAATATTTCGTCCCGCTATATTAGGGCAGTATTCCGGGCAAATTAGGAATACTCGTGTAATGAAATAAATGAAGGTCCGAAGGAAATGCAAATGGATCGTACAAAAGGAAAAGAGAAACATGAATCGTTAATCTTCGGACGCGATTAATCTACGATTGCAATTTCCATGAATATTTCTTGTTATACGTGTTATTAATATATATTTTTAAGAATAATTTTTAAAATGATTAAAAATAATTTAAAAGCAATAATTTAAAAATAATTTATAAAAATTAGAAAGGTATTGCCTCAATTCAAATCTCCAAAAGAGAAGCCAGGTTGTTATTTGTTTAAGATTTATACACACGTCACGAAGTCTCTTTTAAAACGCGATTTTATGATGAATACCACGACAGTGTTCATTACCGCGTTTTCTCTTTCGCGTGTAATCTCCGCAGTTTGACGTAGGTACTTGTTATTGGCATTCCCGTACCCGCACCTATGCCCATGTATTCGCGATTGAGGAATTTAGTATGGTGTTTCTCGCATCTCTCGTTCCCCTTCGTTCCCTTTCCCATCGTCATTGTCTCGAATCCGCCACGTGACAAGTATGTTACTTTTATGCGTCGGCACCGTTTCCGAGCCCCTTTTCGCACACTTTCACCGCATGTCGCGTCGCGATTATTACGTTCCTAGAAATATAAGCTCAAACGTAGCTATTGGCATACCGCAATTCATCATAAACGATCCTTCATACCATTCATTTCAACCGAACTTTAAAAGTCCGAAGGAGAGACTATAGAGTCTCTGTCTTAAATAAATTTCTGTTCACCCGTATTATGATTAAAATATTGAGAGATTTGCAATTAACCGCGAGATTATAATCAGGAGAATTACTTGCTAGATATAGAGTGATTTTTATAGAGTGATTTTTTTTTAAAAAAGCAAGATAAGAGCAAGATAAATAATTCGTTTGATGTATAACTAGATTTGCACTAGCAACCTGCGTAGCTTTACAATCGCATAAAAAAGATTTCAAAATATTGTCAAAATATTGTTTTTGAGATGAAATATAGATGAAACGTATTCAGATTCAAACGTATCTGCGTAGATAATTTTTCATAGATAAAGAATAGATAATCTTATTGGAGGTCAGCCCATCACTTCTGTCGACCCTTAAAAACACAGAGCAATGCTGGAGAAATTCAAGTGTTTCAAGATTGCTTAGACAAATGCTGGCCGTCATTCCGTTCAAATGCGCAGGAATCGATCTTCTTTGAATTCGAAGAATTTTTTGATGCATTAGGAAGAAGGCGGTAGGAATCGTTATTAATGCCAGACAGTGAGTGTCGGAATTCCTTCTTGCATATAAACGAGCAACGCAAAAACACCGCGTTGACACAAGCATGAGACACGAACGTGAAGATGTAAAGGAAATCGAAAGAGATGAGAAGAAAAATTCATTCGTTCCAAGACCCAAGATTTTGGTAAGCTTTTGATCCTACCGGAAATGTGTACAGATTTCAATTATATTATTATGCACCGGATGCATAAATGTCTCTTTTCAATTAATACTATGAATAATTAACGATATACTCACGTAACGTTAGAAAATGTTTATCAAATCTACCACTCTATATAATTTTTTTAAGTTTAATCGCTCCCTGAAGATACCGCGATCAATTATATCTCTCACTAAAGCCTTTTCTTTTAACGCTCAAAGTATCGTCGTATCGTCGATTTTGGCCTCTCCTTTCGAAAGCAATCGAAATATTAATTCGTCACGACTCATTATGCCGGTCGGTGGATCGGTTCATCCGGACGGGTATATAATTCCTTCCTCCAGCAATGATCAATCATTTAATCAGTGGAACGAAAGAGGAGGAAACGGCGTTGAATGATGAAGGTGAGGACAGGGGGCTGCGACATGGACGACGTCCGTCCTTTTTGCTCGCTTTGTGCGCGACGCGCGTATACAAATGTGCACGCATCGTCGGACGGATGATTTTGAATATCATCGCGGCGCGATATGTCCGATTCTACAAATGCGGCCGTACTTGTATACATATCCGCCTTTGGGTATACGTACAGGCGTACCTGAGATATATATATATATATATATATATATATATATATATATATATATATATATATATATACTACGTACGT